CAATTCAACTAATGGTATCCCAAAAGTCCGAGTTCAGATTTAAGATCTCACATAATCAAATTGGATTCAGATATGTTCTGATTCAACTTGACAAATATCCAAACTAATCATTATACATATACTGATGAAGGAAAATTTGGCCCGACCTCGTAACCACTCAACACGTGGCAAAGGCAACAGCTCGGCACAACAGCACGCCAAGGCGCAAGCTCCGAAAAGAGAAACCAGCGGCCCGAACTCCCTGCGAGGAGCCCGAACTCCCCGTAAGGAACCCAAACTCTCCCTTAGGCCCCGAGCCTTACGAACACAAAGGGCAACAACCCGAACTGGCCTGACCCATGGCAGTTCGGGCCATACCTCTATCCGAACTCAAGACTTCACCTCGCACACCACTCCAGCACTTCGCCTCCAAGACACCGAACCGAACAACCGTACCATACCTGACACCGAAGGAGTCCATACCCAGGGGCGGCACACCTGACTGACTTGGGATCTGACGCTTGACAACCGCACTTCAACAGCCACCTGCCACCGCCATCTCCAGTTATAGAGACGGCTCCGACAAAGAGAGCAGTGGCGGTTCTGCCCCAATAGAGGTGATGACACACGAACTAGGAGAAGCGCAGAGGCAATCATACCCGACCTGACAGAAGCTTAGGAGTGAGTGCGCGAAGTGGTTATAAAAGGCTCTCTACCCCCCAAGAACAAGGTATGTGAACTTTGCGCCATCACCGGGTTCCTCCCCGGAGATCCCCCACTTGCTTCTCCGTTTCAGGCCCCTGTTGTTCCAGTCAGAGGCAAAGTCGTTGACAACTAGGACCGGCCGAATTGCGCATCATCACATACATATATACATATGCATATATATACACTTGATTAAATAATCACATATTCTATTCAATTTGAATTCGACCAGTATATATTAGATTATTTAATGGAATTCGAATTTAAATGTTACTTTGACTTGATCATTTGAATTCATTCCATCTTAAGCCTCTAATTGAGAAGTTAATTAAGGCTCAGGTTAGAAAGAATACAAATACAAATATGTCCAGTATAAATACATAGAAAATAATATAAATATTATTAAAAGATTTTGCACTCTAAATATTTGTATTTGTACTCGTTCCAAACTGAGCCTAATATTAGGAATGCAAATACAAATATTACATACAAAATAATGTAAAATACAAGGTTTTGCACTTTGTATTTATACTCCTTCCAAACTGAATCTAAGAGACGAAGGGAGAGAGAGAATAAGCTGCCGTGGACCTAACCCACTTCATTTTACATATATAGTACATACTAGATGCTTCTAGCTAGTCAGCTTCATTTTCTGCTTGCTAAATCTAAAACATCTTAGGAGATGTGAAAAGAGAAAGCCAAGTTATCATTTACTGATGTACTAAAAATGTACAATTTTTTAAGGTGTACTACTGCATGCCTCCAAGTGGCATCTCAAAAGTCATAAAAGCCCTACATTTGTCAATGTCGTACATGCCACTTGGAGATCCTATTCACCAACGTTAGTTGAAGGTACGTACCTTTATAGACTGTCAATTGAATGACGACTCAGCAAGGATCACCCAAGCCCTGAATATATAGGCGCTTCAATTTTAATCTCAGAAACGTCAGTGTAAGCAACTCTTGTCAAGTGTCAATCTTGTGTCAAGTGGGTAGTACTTTTTATGTCAAAGTTCCTCAGCCCTCAGCCTTTAGCCTTTAGCAACTGTCTGAGCTCTGCACTCATCAAATGGCCGCTCAAAGCCAAGAAAGACCAGTTTGTCACACAGCTAGCTAGCGCATATGAGATGTGATAATAGATGTTCCATCACTTGGCTTTAAGGAAGTGATGACACTGACTCAAGTTCAATAGCTAACTATCTAGAACCACAATTCAACTGGTATTATGGGTCAGAGATGGACAGTTCGTACCCAATGCTATGGAGGATGTATTATTCACAAAAAAATGGCAATGTTCTCTTTCTTCTTTCAAAAGTAAAAAAAGAAAAGAAAAAACACTGAGGCTGCGTTTTGTTGCAATGCAAATATATACATTACATATTTACTTATTTTTTGGTTCATGAATGCAAATATGGTTCACATTTTAAATCGTTTTTGCATTCATCTTGTTTGTTTAAAATCATGCAAAAGTGTGAGTTCATCATTGAATGTTTCAAATATCATATACTTTAATGTCTTAACTTTGATTGAAAAATTAATTATCAAAAGAACACAAAATTGTATCCAAAAAATAGGTACAGTATTATTCTCTTTTCAGAGTACAAAAGTGTCAGAAAACGCATTTTTGCATTGATAATTATTACTTTTTTATGCATCAAACAAACGGTTGCAAACACAAACTGAAATACATAAATATCCCAATTCGACATTTGTATCACAAACAAACGGAGCCTGAAAAGCAATACTACTCTAACCCAATTAGGGCAAAACCCTTTGGGCTAATCTTCTTAATTAAATCGAGCACCAATTAATAATAGAACTGCAATTTTTAATAAAATTACTTTGCTTATGGGTATAGGTTTTTGTGGGTCATTTATGGAATGTTGTTTCATAGTTTGGTAGTAGAGGGATGACTTAAAAACTGGAATCTTAGCTTGCATTTAGCATTTCTTATTTTAAGGATTTATCTTTTTTTTTTGTGATTAAAAATTTAATATTCATAGAAACATTTTAGCAACAAAAAAGAAATAAATCTAGGGAATGCCAAATGCATGAAACCTTAATCAAACAACAAACAATAAACAAAGTTTCATATTGAAATATGAAAAGGTAAAAAAAAAGAAGGGTGGTGCACTAGAAAGCCGCCCATCATTGCTTAGATTATTAATATACCACCAGACTGACTATAAATTTTCAGAAATAAATAAAAAGGGTCGTCTGATCAACAAGTGTATCAGCCACCTCGCATGTGGACACGTGGATGAATTTCGAATAAATTCCATATACCTTCCTTAGATTGAATTGAGTGTCATCTGTGACATTATCAGTAAGGGGATTCAGCAGCCTGTTGGTGTTTATAAATGTGTTAAAAGATGTTGTAGTCCTAGAATGGAAAAGGGTGGTGATATGTTTATTATTTGATGATTGGCTTTTGGTTTGGAGCCCTTTTATAATAATAAACTGCATTAAGTTATAGGAGGAGAGGAAGAATCTTTACCTAAAAGGAAATGATGAAAGAACATAGAAAGAACTCAGTGTTTTGTGAAGGATGAAACATATCTTTATACAAGAGATATATGCTAAAAGAAAATGACAGTGTGAATGGGTGGACTATGCCATTTCCTAGGGTACCTAACCATTCCTTGCCACCCAAAAGAGTAGACATTTAGTTTTTATGTTCTTAAGGTTTTTTTTTTTTAATTTTAGAGGTTGTTTGGTATCCATGGTGTTTATAAGATGAAGGTTTTGTATGATTTTGTCTTGAAAAACGAGACAAAATCTACTTTAAACATTTTGTACGCTTTTTTATACCTCAGCGCATTAGGCACGACTAGACGCCATTAAGTATCATATAAGCCAAACAGTAAAAAATTGGTCTGGAAAATGAAAAACATCAAAACTAGTCTTTTTTTTAATAAACAGTTCACATGATTTTCAATAAATAAACGGCTCTACCAAATAACTTTTTAAGCATTTTTTTGCTAAACTTATATCCAATGCTGAACTGGAACCGTTTCTTCCAAAAATTACATCGATACTAAACACCATCTTATACTAAGCCTCTTGTAGATTTTATTAGAAATCTGACCCGAGTTGGAAGTTGAATAAATTTCTAAAAGTTGGCATTGTCAAAAGGTTCTTTATCTAGTAAAAATATATTTCACAACAAAATGTTAAGGAGAGAAGTTATAAATAGGACACTCTAATTAGTAGCCAATCCTTTATCACAGTTCTAGCACTTAAATTAACTTTTAGCTTACCCTTCCCTCTGATGAAATATTTAGAAAGTGACAATCCCTAAGTATCATTGTCATCTCATATGTAAATGCACATGATATCCCATCTAAGTTTTCCTGCAAGGATAAAAAATAGTTAATTTATGAAAGAAAGAAAAAAAGGCAAAAGGTGTCAAAAATAGTTAATTAATTAATAAGAAGAAAAGCAATAAATTGGACAACACCATCCCATCAGTTTTTCTTTTTATTTAATTTCTTTTTTTTTCTTGAAATGATATCCCATCTAAGTTTTCCAAACATTTAATCCAAGATCTTTCAATCACAAGTAACAATTAAGGAACTGCATTATCTCTAGATATCTCTCATAACTCTTGAATCCTTAACATTAATTCAATAAAACACCCTAGAGATTGTTTTTATCATTTGGATTATTTGGATCTCCCTCTGTGGTATATGCCAAGCATAAACAAACAGTGAAGGGTTTCATTTGGAAAAAAAAAAAAAGAATTTTTACGTCTTCAGGTGGTGGTGGTGGAGGAGGAGGAGAGAGAGAGAGGGGGGAAAGAGATGTGTTTGTGGGCAGGGGTGTGGGGTAGTGATGTGACCTAGATTTCAAGGGAAGGAAGAGAGAAGACGGCCACGTGGGTGAGATGACCTCTTCGAAGAGGGAATACAAGGAGAAAAGGACCATAATTTACCATAGGCTTTAGTGAATAGAGTGAGAGGAGATTTATTTATATGCTTTTTGTATACTGACCTGAATAACAAATATTATTACGTGCCATGGTTCAAAAATCAAGGAACTCTCTCCTAATAACTCAAATCTCTCTCATAAATAAACGACTTTCTAGAGAGAGAGAGGGGTGGGGTCGTGTCAAACTTTCTAAGGCAGGTTTGTCTTGCTCTGCCTCTTTTTAATCCTAACATCAATGGGGAGTGCTCTTTCCACAAATCAACCACGTGGTCATCCCATAGATGTCGAGGAGGACCTCTATCTATGACCTTTCTCTTCTCCCTCCTCCAGTCTCCAACTCTATATATACCTCCCTCACTTCTCTCTTCAAATCACACCTCTCTCTTCCTCTCCCTTCTCACTCATTCCCTCTCTTTTCTTTTCTTCCAAAAACCAAAAGAAAACATCAATATCTCACAACACAATTCCATTGCAACATAAATTCGCATCAAAAGCAACCATTCATTCACTCTCTAGTACCTCTCTATCTCTCTCTCTAATACAGAGATATACAGAGCAGACTTCTTTTTAGATCCCAACCCAACCCATCCCAAGACTTCAAAAACAATGGCTTCTTCAGCAGCTGCTGCTACAACTTCTAGCACATGGGTCAATCCCAAACGAGCTCATGCTCATCATCCCTCTTCATTAATGGATTTGGGCTGCAGTTCCAAGTCCATAAGCTTAAAGAGGCCCAGTAGAAGAGCCCATCTCCATTGCTCTCTGCAGACTCCTTCACTGCTCCGTTTCCCAAAGCAATCCTCCTCCTCCACAACTCCCTCTCCCGCTATTACTACTAGTACTACTACCCTCCCCAAGCCCAAACCCAAACCCAGAAACAAAGAAGATTCATCATCGTCACTCCCCGCCAACTACAACACCAATAAGGCTTCGCCTGCTCCTCCTCCTCCACAGTGGAATCTGCTCCAACGTGCTGCTGCCATGGCGTTGGATGCCGTCGAGGCCGCCTTGATATCCAGCGAGCGCCAGCACCCACTCCCCAAGACAGCCGACCCAACCGTTCAAATCGCCGGCAATTTCGCACCAGTGCCCGAGCAACCTGTCTCCCATTCCCTCTCCGTCTCTGGCCGTATCCCCGATTGCATTCAAGGCGTCTACGTTCGTAACGGCGCCAATCCCCTGTTCGAGCCCGTCGCCGGTCACCATTTCTTCGATGGTGACGGCATGGTTCACGCTGTTAGCATCCACGACGGCTCCGCTAGCTACGCTTGCCGCTTCACTGAGACGCAGCGTTTCGTTCAGGAACGAGCCCTTGGCCGCCCTGTCTTTCCGAAGGCCATTGGTGAGCTTCACGGCCACTCTGGTATTGCTCGGCTCCTTCTCTTCTATGCCAGAGGACTTTTCGGGATTGTCGATCACACCCAGGGAACCGGAGTTGCCAACGCTGGCCTTGTTTATTTTAACCGTCGTCTTCTTGCCATGTCCGAGGACGATCTCCCTTACCAAGTTCGTATCACTCCCTCCGGTGACCTTGAGACAGTCGGCCGCTACGACTTCCAGGGTCAGCTCCGGTCCGCCATGATTGCTCACCCCAAGCTCGACCCAGTCTCGGGCAAGCTCTTTGCTCTCAGCTACGATGTCGTTCAGAAGCCATACCTTAAGTACTTCAGCTTCTCCCCAGATGGCCAGAAGTCACCTGACGTCGAGATTCCTGTTGCTGAGCCCACCATGATGCACGACTTCGCAATCACCGACAGGTTTGTGGTGATACCCGATCAGCAGGTGGTGTTCAAGCTCCAGGAGATGATCCAAGGTGGCTCTCCGGTCGTCTACGACAAGAACAAGATTTCCCGGTTCGGAATCTTGGACAAGAACGCCGTCAACGCTTCGGGGATCAGATGGGTCGAAGCGCCCGATTGCTTCTGCTTCCACCTCTGGAACGCTTGGGAGGAGCCCGAGACCGACGAGGTCGTTGTCATCGGTTCCTGCATGACCCCGCCGGACTCCATATTCAACGAATGCGAAGAGGGTCTGAAGAGCGTTCTCTCAGAGATTCGTCTCAATCTAAGGACCGGTAAGTCCACCCGTCGATCCATCATCTCCGACTCCCAACAATTGAACTTGGAAGCCGGAATGGTGAACCGGAACCGATTGGGGAGGAAGACCCAGTTCACCTATTTAGCAATTGCCGAGCCATGGCCGAGAGTTTCTGGCATCGCCAAGGTAGACCTCACCACCGGAGAAGTGAACAAGTTCATTTATGGAGACCGATGCTACGGTGGCGAGCCATTCTTCCTGCCGAGGGACCCCAACAACTCGGAAAGAGAAGATGATGGCTACATACTGGCTTTCATGCACGACGAGAAGACATCAAAATCAGAGCTTCTGATTGTAAACGCCATTAATTTACAGTTGGAAGCTTCAGTCAAGCTACCTTCTCGAGTTCCATACGGTTTCCACGGCACGTTTATAAATTCCAAAGATTTGGAGAAACAGGTCTAAAGCCTACAGATTCTGGCACACCCTTAATTCCGTCCTAGTACAGAGGAGACTTTACCTGAGGGATACTTTTGGATTACATCCCCGGAGTCTTCTCCCAACACCTCCACTTATCACGAATCACAAATCACAACCCCTTTCTGGGTTTTACCTCTACCTTCTTCAAATTTCATTTTTGCTTAGTTTTCTCTTTTCTTTTTCAGCATGAGAGAGAAGTTTTGATAGAAACCAGCTTGTAGCTTTTGGACTGTAGGTAGAGATGGAGCTCAGCTGGTTTCTGTTTATTCTTTTCTTCTTTCTTTCTTGCTTCCCCACTTTCTGTTCTCTTTGTGTACTTGATTGATGTCTATGTGTTGTTCTTTGTGTAACATAAAAACAGAGGATGTCTTTCATTAACCTTGCTCTCTGCCTCTCACTCTCTCTCTCTCTCCTCTCATTTTGCTTGTTATAAAATATTAAAAGTTTTGATATTGATTTTCATTTCTCCTATGCTTCCAGGAATTTGTAGGGAAGGGCATGGGACATGGGCAAGAAGGGGAATTTATGGGGTTTTCATGGAATTCTTTATGAATAACCCCCATTTCAGTATTTACATTTACGCGGTTTAATTTTGTACTTAAACCGTTGATGATGATGTGGGCACTGTTATTTTGATAAATATTTGCTAAAATTAGTGGTGAAAAATGAAAATTGAGTATGGGTTCGTTTAAATTTTAATAAAATCTATATAAATATACACAAACCAACTCACTATATATAGTCGCATAATGCAAATATTGTATGTTGCAGTGTGACAGGAATGGGCTAATTTTCTTACTCAGATGCCAACCTGAGTTAACCCTATTTCTTTTAACTTTATTTGGTACCGACGATACAAACAAAATCCCGACACAACATGTTTATGATAAGATGATTAAAATAAGCGTTTATCATAAGATGCTAGAGAAATGGATAATGAAAGACTTGTATCATGCAAATATATATATATATATATATATATATATATAATAGAATAATTGGAGTTTCATTTGTAGGCTGCAAATTAAGGAGTGAAAGGGGTAGAAAGGCTGTAATATTTTGTGTTTCTTCCCTTTGTACATCAAATGCCTGATAATTGCTGAGAATTTTTTTCCAAAATGTATGAACTGATAATTGATCTATGAATATGAAACATTAATAAATTCCATTTTTGAATCCCTTCTAAATGGGGCGGTGGATCTTTATTAGTCTATGCTGGTGAGGTGAGTTTTCCTCCTCAGATTGCTGCTGGAGTGCTGGGTGGTGGCAACAAGGTCAAAGCTGAAAGTTGAGGCCAGCCCACAGTGTTAACATTGGGAAAATGGGTTGGGTGGTGATTTGGGCACACCCTCATTCTAATTTAATAAATTTAGATGGGGCACAACACAAATTAAGCTCTATAAACGGGCCAAATTAAGTTTGCTGTGTGGAGAAGAAAAGACAAAGTAATACCTTTTTTCCCGTAAAGAATAAATCTTGTCTCTTTGAAAGAGGTATCCTTAAGGTTAAGGATCAAAAACAGAGAGTGCCCAAATCACAATCCCAGAAATTAGTGTATATTGAATCGAAGAAAAAGAAAGAAAAAAGAAAATCTTTGGAAGGAAAGAGAAGAAGAGTTTGACGTTTTTGTCGGTTGTTTGGGAACGACTCGATTCGGCTGCCGTGATGCCATCCATAACTTATAGTGCAAATTGGAAAGCAAAATAAAAAAACAAAAAATAGTGAAAGCAAAGATAGTTACACGCTAGGCTCTCATTCTCTCCACCTTTATTATTAAGTTAAATAGAAAAAGTCCCACTTTTTCTCTGTTTCGAACTCCACTTCAAAAGCAACTTCTCTCACAAAACCATTAATCTCTACTTCTTTGCTTCAAACCCCACTTCACAAATCATCAAATTCTGCCGACCCAATTCAATTTTCCTCACCAAATCCATAAAATTTCTCATTATCATTCATGGGTATGCCACTAATCTCTTTCTCTGTCATATATATATATATATATATGAAGATGTTTAGTCAATGGTTAACTGTCAAACATCCATGTATAGAAATATATTTGTTGGGATGAAAACACCAGCCGACCCTTTTTTCCCTTTTCTCAAAGCTCATCGATGCAATTCACCATCAATGTAAGTATACTGGTGCAGCCCATGTCAGACGGACCACTCTCTCTCTCTCTGTGGGGACGTGGAGCTATATGGGATTAAGTACGTCCATATTTTGTGGGTAACGGCTCTAGGACTGAAAGAGAGAAGTAAGAGCATGAGAGCATGGATTGATTAATCAAATTAAGGGGAAAAGGTCGCTTACAGCCGACCATCAGCTTATTAGTGAGGAGAGATTCATGGTTCCTAACGTGTTTCTCACTCAACCAACATTAATTACCCCCATTAAGGTTTCATTTAATAAACATGTACTTTTAAGTTTACGACGGTAGAATAAAAAAAAGGGGTAAAATATAAAAATCTCCCCTCAAGATTTTAACAATCATAAAAACCTTCCCTATGATTTCATTTTAATAAATACCTTTCCTGAAGTTTTGAGAAATTCAACAAAAATCTCATTTTCGTTATTGTTCCACTCGTTATTGTCCCACACAAACAATATTAGATTGATGTTTTAATTTTTTTCAAATATCCATTCTACCACTTCATAAATTATTTTACATACAAAATTACTGAAATAACTTCATTTTAATTCAATAAAAACCTCTTTTAAAAATCATTTCAGTAATTTTACATATAAAATTATTGAAATATGTTTTTTTATTAAGTTAAAATGGGATTATTTCAGTAACTTTACATGTAAAATAATTTATAAAAAAGTAGAAGAGATATTTAAAATAAACTGGTACATCAATCTAACGTTTTCCATATGTAACAGTAATAGAAAGAAGGTTTTTGTTGAGTTTATCAAAAGTTCAAGAGATGTATTTGTTAAAATGAATTATAAGCGAGGGTTTTATAATTGTCAAAATTTAAGGGGAGATTTTTGTATTTTACACTAAAAAACTTTCAAAAATATTATAATCAAAAGCTAAAACACTTTTGAGCCCTAAATCACTAATTGGGGATTATTGTTTTTGTGCTTTAAAAGCATACATCCTCGACAGCCAAACATAACTTATATAATTATTTAATGATATTGTTTTCTTAGCCGGCCAGAGGATAATTTGGGATAACTTTTCATTGATTGATTGATTGATTGAATTGCTTTGAATAATAACACCTTAAAAGTAAGTGGACGATAGAAGAATGGCGGCTCATTTGGATATGCTCTAAATGATCCAGTTATTTTCGAGTTGACTCTGTTTATTGCATCTTGCCAATCTGCTCCAAAATTGTACCTCACATGGTTATGTTCAGCATATGTCTTAGTAATTATTCAATCCATTTTTGTGTATGTGGGACAAAAAGAAGTTGCAAATTGTATCATTAGTTTTGTTCAAATTTGAATAAAGTCTGATCTTATCAATGAATTCAATTTTGAATTCACCGATAATAATTAGATACCAATAAGGTAATAAATAGCTGCTCGTTAAATTTAGATATCAATTAATCACATTAAAGACATTTTAGTTATCATTGATTTATGTTTTATAAAAATGTAGTTTCATGTCGCAAACCAAAGATATCATTGATCAATGTCCTTTTTTTTTTTTGCATGATACATTCGATAAACCACAGATCTACCCTTTTTAATTAGGCTTCCAATTTGATCAATGTAGACATCAAATACTCTCTCTCTCTCTCATATAGCCTTATAGAAATTGTTTTCAAGTTAAATTTCTAATTCATTTTATTAATGATATATTAGTATTGTTGTATGAAATAACAGGATAAAATAAAAATAAAAACTAACATAAGATTGTGAATTCAATAGTTTATGGCCTGTTCGCTTTTTGGTAAGTTATTTATTCAGGTAAATGTAATTACTTGTATAAGTTTATTTTGTAAAACACTTACCCAGGTAAGTGTATTTACCCATGTTCTTTTATTTTTCAAGTAAAAAAGAAAATGATCATTTTAGCCATAAAAATTCATTATTAAAAGGGACATTTTTGTTGCATTCAAGTGTTGGAAACTTTCCCCCTTAATGGGAAAGTTATTTACCAACCTAAAAGATACCCAGAAAAATAAACTTTCCTTGGTCCCCACATTAATATGAACAAAGAACATGGGATTCTTGGTCAATGAGAACCAAAATTCCATTGACCAACTTTCCCCCCTCTCAATATCCAAAAAAAGAACGCCCCCTAAGAAAGTGAAAAGATATGAGAGAGAATTTTTAAGAAGTAAAAACAAAAACAATCTAGGGGAGGGGAGGGAGGAGGTTGAAACTTGAAAGTGTTATGGAAAATGAAACTTTAAGGTCTAAAAGGGTTTCACTGTGACACTAGAAAGACATGATATTTGAAAAACTTATAGCCAATTAACCGGTATCATAAAAATGGCAACTAATCAGGTGGCATTAATCAAAACATGCAAGAGGTTTTGTTGAGGGGCAGAGCACTAGAGGGTGGTGGAGGGGAGCCATAGTTCAGATTTGAATCAAATCTAATGCCCCGTTCGCTTTTCGGTAAGTCACTTGCCCGGGTAAATGCACTTATCTGGGCAAGTGTTTTTCAGGAAATACTTACCTTAGTAAGTGCAATTACCTATGTTCTTTTATTTCCCATGTAAATAAGGCAATGACAATCTTAGCCATAAAAATTCCATTATTAAAAGGGGCATTTTTGTCCCATTCAAGTATTGGCAACTTTCCCCTAGATGGGAAAGTTAATTTACCCACATATGAGGGGTAAGTGATATCTAGGAAAATAAACTTTCACTAGCCCCACATAAATCTGAAAAATGAACATGACTTTCTTGGTCAATGGGAATCAAAATCCCATTGACCAACTTTCCCTCCTCTCAAAATCCAAAAAAAAAAAAGAATGCCCCTAAATATTAATGGATCTCGCCTGATCAGACTTCAAAAAATAAATAAATAAATATTAATGGATCAAACTTGACGCTGATCATTTGCAACTAGAAAAAGAGAATTAAATGCATGTCCAAATTGGCTTATCTATTATGCAAACAAAAATGGAAGAGAATGAGAGCTAAAAAGCAAAAGCGGAAACAAAACAATGAATCAGAGTTGGAATGGTTTTGGCCTTTTGGAGGAGGCGCTTTTCTACCTTTCACTGTTTGTAACTCCGACAGGGACACAAGCTTTGATGCTTACTTATCATAAAATCGAATTACTGTATTTTCATTCAGCTTACACAAAGTAGGAAATTGACAATCTCTCTCTCTCTCTACCTTCAACCATGCTTAGTAATTTTATTCTTGTTTAATTACTTGATGCCTGCCTCTGGTCTTCCTGTAGCAGGT